CANACANAGANACACACACACACACACACACACACAACACACACACACACACACACACTACACACACACACACACACACACACACACACAAACGTACGACACACACACACGCACACACACTCACACACACACACACACACACACACACACACACACACATATATATATATACATATATCTATGCTTTGTATCCAATCAAGGCTTTTTACACAATTGCAGAGAGAGTCCCAACTGATTCTGAGTATCGAGGGTACAGAACATGCACGATTGAAGACCAAGGGTATTACGAAGACCTTGTCACTTATTGATTTCAAGTGCATCGCCTATTCTGGGGAGAATGTCCTTGTTCCCGGAACGCATGTTATCCCTTTCACCTTCAGAGTACCAGATCTCCCCGGTAGGTGTTTCTGAGACTAATTGTAGGAAAACATTGTTCGTATATCTATAGGAATTCATGTATTCCTACGTATGTAAATGAATAGTCGATGTTCATGTATATTACATATTCTGTGGTATACTGTACACTTTGCTTTTAGACAAGATCTCCGATCAGTCTTAATGGCATTTCGGAGGACTTTTAAATTGCTAGTCGCACCCGTCGTGTTCCTGTACGTCTTTTGATGCAATTCCATATCAAAACCTTCCCAAGGCCTTTTGCTGCAGAGCACAAGAGTGAACACTAAAAACCATGTGGTTTATTAGACTCGTAGTATTACGGATTTGCATCGTTGATATTGTTATTGCCAAGTATGTGCGTCCACTCAATTCACCATGTTTTAAAAATGGCTCATATATCTCTACTTTCCGATTTGTGGAACCACCGTTATTTTTCAGCCACCTGTGCTAGAGAGACAGCCCCGTTCCGAGCAGCGGTAGGTGATATGAGACGAATGCTTATTCGAGGGCTGCTTGTGCTCTATGTGCATATGAACCGTACAGGTGCATGCGTGAGTAGTGGTCCATACGTGCGCGTGTATGTATGCACACGTGTATGTAGAATGAGGTATAATTAGTTAAGTGGCCGGTTGAATTAAACGAATTGAGGTCAATGTGACGCTGTGTTGGTATTGAAGAATTGGCCCAAGTGCTCCTGAGTGTGCTAGCCTGCCGTGTATGTGCTTAGAGGGAAGGTACTGTTAGTTTGTACACGAACCTGTATGCATATTATTGAACCAACAACGATGGTGCAATATTTCAGTACGGGAAGCAACAGATGCGTGCGCGCGTATTATGTGCACTATAGTTAGGGCTTTTCTATTTAATTTTACACATATTCGAGTTCTAGGCAAACGAATTTCATCATCTAAGTGGTTTTTGTAAATACACGTATATTCCCAGAAATCATCCTCACCGCTACACGTTCCATATCGTTTGATACACAGGCAGTCGACTTTTCTTACGTCTATATTTATTTAGATTTACGTTTAACGTGTGAGTTCATACTTACCATGTATGACACATGTCATTACAGAGGTCGATGGAAAGTCGACATCTTTGTTTATTTAGACGCACAATCTAAGTTTAATTCATTCTAATTGATCCGCATATGACACACATCAGTACGCACAATTGAGAAATGTACATCAGACTTTATTTGGATGCACATTTTGCGCCGTTAGTTCTAATTGCACCACGCATGCAACGATGTAGCGTGTTCATTCATGGTCATTTACATATGCATTCTGCCGGCGTTTGTCCGTCTACAGATCTGCTACAACCTGACCGCACAATTTGTGGGACTCGAGAACCAAGGGCCGCTCACACGATCACAGATATTTATAGTAACACACAACACCGACGACGACGACAAAGATCCTAAAGGTAGTGTTGTCGGCCGTATCTCATGGGTTTACCCTGATTTATATTCAAGTTTTCTACTCGATTTATAGTAGCTTTATTGGCCACATGTCACGATACTATCCCTATTTATTTTAGATCGTCTAGTCCACGTACTACCCTCTGCCTTGCTATAAATTGGTGCCATAGTTGTGTATATGTCAAACGACAGCAATACCCAAATCGCCACCAGCGTTATGATCAAGTCATGATGCAGATATTCTCTTCTCAATGGAGTGCCATCCATACCGCGTTCAGTTGGTTCCGTGATACCGTTTGTGTCATGCACACTGTTAACGGTGCTTATAAACCATACCCTGCGTATGCATAACAGAAACAATCCGCCATATCAACACCAACGGTGATTACGCGCTGGAGTGTTGGTTGGCTCGTAATCGATTCACCACCGCCGATGTGGTTGCACTCAAACTACGGCTCAATAGCACAGCAATCAAGGCAGTCCACGGCATCCACGTGGTGCTCAAGAATGTATGTGTACACGTGGTGCTCAAGAATGTATGTGTACACGTGCGTGGTACTTAAGTATGTATGTGTACACGTGGTGCTTAAGTATGTATGTGTACACGTTGGTGCTTAAGTATGTATGTGAGCACGTGGTACTTAAGAATGTATGTGTACACGTGGTGCTTGGCTATAACATTGCTGAAGGCTGTGGGTACACATGTGATACACAACAGTGTGTGTGTGTGCATGTGTGCACGTGGTGCTTAGCTATAACATTGCTGAAGGCTGTGGGTGCACATGTGATACACAACAGTGTGTGTGTGCATGTGTGCACGTGGTGCTTGGCTATAACATTGCTGAAGGCTGTGGGTACACATGTGATACACAACAGTGTGTGTGTGTGCATGTGTGCACGTGGTGCTAGGCTATAATATTACGGAGGGCCGTGGGTACGTATGTGATACTCAACAGTGTGTGTGTGCATGTGCGCACGTGATGTTGGCTATAATATTTACTGAAGGCTGTGTGTGCACACGTGGTACACAACAGAGTGCTTGTGCACGCGGTTTCTTGGATCCAATGTCCATATCCTGGCGGGTATGAAGATCCAATTTAAAAGCTACACAGTTGCAGCTGCGGAGCATACACTATTTGCATTATCTGAGTGCGTAGCCAATTCTTTTGAATATAGACCATGACTTTGCGGATGGAGGGCTATCGGATACGACACGAGGAGGTGTCCTTACACCAGGACTACGGGGGATTTGAGCCCTGTTTCTACGGTGAAAGGTGTGGATTGTCTCTCATTCGGCATTTTGTCGTTCTGCTGTCGTGCTTCTTGGTTCATTGCGCGTACATAGATACATTTCATTCTAGTGCGACTGCTTAGTGTCTTCGATGCTTGTTCATTTCATTGGTAGTCAAATATTCGTTATTTGGCCCACATTGCTACCTAAATCTCAAAACTCCGATAATGATTCCCTCCAACAAACGTCTTGTCCTGATTCGGTTCTTCCCCGTTGTAGATTCATCTCCTTTTCAATCGGTCGACTGGACTGCTACACAACTAAAGGCACAATGCTGCAGAGCACGTTTGCATTACAAGGTATGTCTTGTATGCATTTGACTGTAATCCCTCTTTAGCAAACTAAAGGGAATATGTAGATCCCATGTGTTCAAGTATAGTATGCGTGGAGAATATCGCTATAAGGCAATCGGATTGGCTCTGGCCATCAGAGTTTGTAATCGCTTGTGTACATAATTATCAAGGAATACGTACAACACATTCATATATATATATATATATATTATATTGTATTGACACACACACACACACACAC